ATGATAAAATTAAATAAAATTTGACATAAAAATTTGACATTTCTTTACGAAATTTCAGTCAAAATTTATTTTGTATTCGGTAGATAATGTAAAATTTTTTTATTTCTTTATTTTTCATCAGACAAATCAAATTCAGACATCGCAAATTCCGAAATTAAAATATTATACATCAATTATATAGAATCTTAGATTCAATTTTAGATTTAATTTGAAGTGTGACAGGCAACTGAAATAAAATAAAGTCACAATAGGACGTGACCCTTTGCTGGATTTCAATCAATCAATGAAATATCAAATATACAATTAAAGCGATTATATTTGATTTATTAAAAATATTTCTCTACTATTTGCATACAAACACATATACACAAACAAATAAGATAAAAAGTGTAGTATGTATTTAGATAGATGTATATTTTTAATTTCTTAATTTTATTCCCGTTTATAAAATGAATACAAAATGTTTTAATTATTTTCAAATTTTAATATTCCCTTCAATTCTCTTGTCAGATTTATTTGTGAATTTCCTTTATTTTTTTCAATTTTGATTTCTGGTTTTTTATTAATTTTTGATTTATATATTAAAATTATTTCTTTATTTAATTATAAATATACTTTTTTGAAATTTACATTAAATACAATACATAAGAAATGATACAAAAAAAGTAAAAAAAAAATAAAATTAAAATACAATCCTAAAATAACGGAAACTTACAAAGTGTACAAAATTATTTTACCTTATTTATATGTATATCAAACAATTTTAGCACAACTTAGAAATTCGACTTCATATAAAACTTATAGATAGCTTTATAATGTATTGCTAGTATATTAAGAACTGGATGTATATTTGATTAATTGTGTTTGTAAAATGCTTTGCATGTTGCTTAAAATGCTTTATTTTTGCATGAATTTAAAACAAAGATTTGGTTTTTAATTTATTTTTAAATAATATAACTTTTGAAATAGAATATTTTTAGGATCTGTTATATATTTTCAATGATAAAGAAAATAATTTTTTTGCAAATACATAGTAACATATATATATATATATATACAATATATAAGAATACAGAATAAATAATTAGCAAAATATTGAGTTTAGAAATATCTGTTCTATATACCGAATCGACTTCGATAATATTCACAATTTAATAATTTTAACTCGGATTTGTCAAAAGTAAAATTTCTCTCTGACATTAATTTAAATTTTTTTTAACATTTATAATTTCGCTGAAATACTGAATTGAAAACTACAAAAAACAAAATTTTTTGTAATTAAAAAAAAGAAAATTAATAGAATTTTATTTTTTACTTAAATGTCATTTTCATTTTATGTTCGGAATTCTAAAGTCAGAGAGCGCTACTAAATTTTAATTACAAAACTGTCTTGAGGAAACTGTCTTATAATTCGCAAAATTTCGAATATGAATGTATAAAATAAATAATAACAAATATGAAAATATAATATAAATATGGAATTATAAAATAGGTGTTAGACAGTTTTTCTAATAATTACAAATAAACTTAAGAAAGTTATTAAAATTGTGAACTTTTGAAATATTCTCAATATTGTCAAACTTATATTACATTTTAATGTCAACAATAAATATTTTAAATAAATAATATTAAAATATTACAGTAATAAATATGTACATATTATATAATATTTTATTTGAAATATATAAAATAATAATATATAAATAATGGTATAATATGCACAAAATATTCAATTTAATATATACAAAGCATGAGGTTTAAGAAAATATATAGCAACTATATTATATTATAATTGATTATAAATAACTTGAAAATGAACGCATACGCCATCTATATTTAATCATTTTCCTATAAAATAAACTATATTAATTATTTCTAGATTTCTTTTTTTTTTTATTTAATAATCTTATTAAAAAAAAATAACGGAATGGAGCAATTATAACAATTTGTTTTTTATATAGACAATTAAAATATAATTATTTTCCAAAATATATATGTAATATATATTTTATATACAGCTATTAATGATATATCATTTATATATAATTAATTTTCCTCATAATATATCAATTTTATATATTAAAAATTTACAAGCATATTATATAATATTATCTAATTTAATGTTGCAGGTTTGAATATTATAAAAAATGAAATTCAATATCAAATATAATTCTTAAAAATTTTTTTAAATATATTTATATTTTTTTTTCATATATTTTACACATTACATATATTATTCTGTGATTCTTCTGTAGTATATGAAAAAAGAGGAGAGATATAAACGTTTTCAAAATGCAACGAAATTTTAATAGCAATTCATTATCTTACTATACAATTTTAAATTACATACATATGTATATATTTTATGTATAACCATATATACTTAATATATATATTTGTATATATAGTAGTTGTACTTATTTCAAAACTAAAATATAGTAAGAATATTGAAATTTATTTAGAGCATTTAACTTTACGTTATACATATACGCATTTAAAGTGTCTCGTATGGGAATATGTCAAACTATGATAGATTTAATTGCAATATTTTAGATAAACATTGTAATTACATAAATAAATACATAACATAACATATATATATATAATATTATATGCTATATATTATATTATACAAAATTATATATAAATTCAATTTAATTTACTTAAAAGTGACATAATACAGATAAAATTGTATCCTGCATACTGCAACAGTAATTTTACATACCTATGATGTATTTATGTAGTTCAAAACTTTTACGCATTTTTCAATATTTTTCCTGTTTTAGCTGAATAAATGTTAATCGTTTATGGTAAATTCAATTTTAACCTTTAAAATTTTTATTACACAAATTTCTATAACTTTGCTACAAAATTCCAACAAATTTCAAATATTAAAATTAAATGCCAAAATAATTCGCAAAATTCATTTGTTGTAGCTTAAAAATATTATTTCCACCTAACGGAATAAAGTAAATCAATTACACAGATCATCTACGCTTTTGTTCGAGTTAGTGTAGTTATACTCAGTTTTGACTACTTATAAATAGTTTGTACACATAAATGAAACGCAAATAATTTTAACTCTTGAATTATAAAATACATATAGCTTGTTCCTTATCACATATTGTATTACATTTTATATATTAGAGTATAGAGACTTTCATTTATGCTAAGCAAAATGTTCAAATACTTATACATGTAACATAAACTGTTATATTAAAAAATAAAACTATCATAGTTTTTGTTGCCATCTATTGTGATTTTTAATTTTAAATATGTATAAAAATCTGTATATAAATAATCATATATAATTATGCTCCAAATAAAACTTAAAATCTTACGTTGCAAAACCAAAAAAAGAAATTCAACAAAAAGCTGCATCAAAACAAATGTTGCTACAAGTTCGCCGGTTCGTTTTTTATGCGCGGATGTGGTTATTTATAAAAAAAATAAAAAATATAGAACAGTTCACCGAAAAAAAAAAATTTTTTTACACTTCATTTAAAATAATATTATATACAATAAAAATAATTTAAATTCAATTTCAATATATTCAATTTATACATACTTGCATAATATATATATATGTATTGATCTATATGTATATATATTATATATATACAAAATCTATATATATATATATTATGCACAACTTTCATTTAATTTCAACTCTTTTTAAACAGTTACAGTTATTCAAAAGTATATATATATGAGGCAAAACCTACATATATATTAGACATTTAATTATTTAATTTATACACGCATACATTTATATAAAATGTATATATTATTTAAAATATATATATATACATATACATACTTCAAATTATATAAATATATAATTATTTCAAAAAAAAATAAACAATATTTGACACTTTTTCATTTTTTTTCAACTATTATAAAATGCTTTTTTTGGAAAAATCTCCAACAAACGAGCTAGAGACGCTCGGAATTTTCCATCTCAATTAAGCTACTATATTTGCGTATATACATAATATATATATTTTATAAAATTACCTCTTCTATATGTATTTAATAAAAGAAAAAAAAAAAAGAAGCAAACTTTGAGAAACATTGTTTTAGCAAATGAAGTAATATTATACGTATAACAGTTATTAATAAATATTTTGCCAAAATCAAAATTTCTAGATTTTAAATTTATTTAAAGAGATTTTATTATTGTTTTATTTATAATTAAATATTTTTACACTTATATATTCACATATATTTTTTTCATGTATATAAAAAAGCTCGTATAACAAAAAGTGTTTTTTAATTTTTTAAATATTTTTAAATGTTAAAATTATGTTTCTCAAATTTTAGTATTATAATATTGGATTTTTAGTGTGCCTCTTTTAGTGTTCAAAGTTAAATCAATCAATTTGAATTTTGATTTCAAAATTTTGATTTTTAATTATTTTTCTACTGTTCTTTTTTATTGTATTATTATTGTTTTCTTTTGATTTTCATTTATTACGCTAACAAAAACTAATACTTTTAATTTTATTTTTTCAATTTTTCTTTTTCCATATTACTTGTAAACAATAATTGGGTATGGTATTCTAAAAGTTCTAATTTTTTCTGTTTTTTTTTCAATCCTATATTTTGTTTATTAAATTTCAATTTTTAATTTGAATTTTTTGTTTTTATTTATGTAAATTCAAAAAAATCTAAATTTTTAAAATCAAAAACAAAAAAATTATAATACAAAAGTAATCAAATCTAAAAAATTTTTTTATTTCTTTTTTTTTTTTAACTAAAATAATAAATAAAATAAAAAAACATGATTTTCATTATAACAATTCAATTGTTATAATTCAAAATGTCAAAAATGTCGGATTTAAATGTCAAAATAAAAAAAATTCTACAATCGTTCAAAAAAATTAATCACGAAAAAAAAAACTTGATACTTACAAATCAAAATAAAACAAAAAAAAAAAAAACATTTTCAAAATAAAAAAAAAATTAACAAAAAAAAAACACAAAAACTATATATATAGGACTTCACATTGGACTTTTATTTTCGTCAATTTTGGACCGATCCTCGTTTAGCGTATAGAAAACGACCGGGCGTTGAAACGTTATCAGTTGGATCAGAGTTCATTAAAAACATATGGGTACCTGACACCTTTTTTGTAAACGAAAAACAATCATATTTTCATATTGCAACTACCAGCAATGAATTCATTCGAGTTCATCATTCTGGTTCAATTACAAGAAGTATTCGGTAAGAAAATTTCAAAAAAAAAAAATCAAAAAAAAAAATATACACAAATTAATGACACCACTTTCTATATAGTATGTAAAAAAAAAAAACAATTAAAAAATAAACCAATTTTTTTTATTCTTAATAAATATTGTAATTTTATTGTATACCATTTAAATATTATTTGTGAATTGCTTATTATAGTAAAAAATTAATGTATAAGAAAATATTTTTATTATATATATAGAGTAATTACATATTTATATATATAATAATTATGTATATATTAATTAAAATGTTATATTTTTATGTTTTACTGCAGTAATAATGTTTTTTTTTTATATTTTTTTTTAAATAACACTTAATTTTTTGATAAGTGAGATCAGTTGTTTACACTTATATATATACAAAAGATTCTATATATTACAAACATTATACACACACATGTAATACATAAACACATAATATACTTATACACAATATGCGAAAATCCGAAACGACAACACATACTAAAAAAAAAAAAAACAAATAATAAATTCAAGAAATATTGTTGTACATTTATAAAATTAAGATTTTCATTCAACAACAACATTATATTTGACACAATTAAACAACAACAACAGCAACACTCATATAAATATTTTTTAATAAAAATCTTTTAAGATGCTTTAAAAAAACAATTGACTTCATCAAAAGATTTATTATTTTTCTCCTAATATATATAAGTATATAATAAAATAATATCAATAATGACGGTCACACGGATTTATGGAGAGAACCTCTCTTTATTCCTATAGTATATTATATTTGAAGTAAATTTGCCTTGTTTAAAAAATATGCTTTGTTTTTTAAACTTCTGCTGGTGAATGCTTACTATTAAAAAAAGGGTATCCTTTTGAAGAACAATATTTTAAAAAAAACTTATATTAAGAAATTTTCTAATTACATATTTACATCCATATATGTACATCCGTATTTATAAAACTTATCAAGCGAAAAATAGTTTTGCTAGGTATACAAAACACAAAAAATTAAACTCTTATCCGATTATTAACTTTCTGTTAGTGCAATTAAAGAATAAATAATCAGCACGACTATCATGAATTCCGTTCATTACTAAAATTCTGATTATTATTATTACTAAAATTCTGATTCAAATAACAGAATTATTTTAGCTCTATTCGAAAAATTCGTAATAGAGCAATAATAAATTGCGTTCGTAATAAAAATAAATGTCAAGTCTACAAAAGAAATAATTTTACGTATTGCAAGCACTTTAAAGGCAGTCGTCTTTAATTTTTAAATTTTGGATTTTTTCTTTTAAGGTTGAATTCCTCTAACACAGCTACCATGAAGTGAAATTCATATTTGCTAGAAAAACGTCTTTTCTATTTTTCAAATATATTCAAATAATAAAAAAACGGATATTGATTTTCACACTGCCATTGGTGCTGCCATTGAAGATTAATCTCTACGAGTGATTAGGAATAGTAATTTAAGATTCCACGAGTGAGAGGAATTCATGATTGGGCTGAATATTATTCTAAACTAAATGTGTAAACGCTTTTGTAACAAACATTTCACTTTTAGATATGTATATACAACGCCATTAAATATACTGGCGTTAATAATCTTCAATTTACTTTATTTAACAATTGAAATAGCATTACCAAATTTGACGTTTCACATGAGATTCGTCTTACATTTGATTTTCATTGAAATATACTCTTTGAAATAATAATATATAAAACGGAATAGATCAGAAATGAGATATAATAATGAATGAAAACAATTATTCAATTTCAGAAAGATTTCAGTGATCATTGAATTAAGTGGACTTTTTGTTTACACAATTAATTTAGTAATTTTGTAAACAATGTAATAGCGAATTTTATTCAAATAAATTAAAAATATTGTTCTCATTTTGAAATCTCAAAAAAAACGTTCACTTATTAATTGCATGCATGTTATATTTCTTCAATTCTTGAACTCTTTTGATCCAAAATATAGCTCATGGAGATTTTAATTAAAAATTGCTTAAATTCATATTAATTTTTATTTAAAATAGTGCATGTTGTATAAGCAAAAACAAAGTATTTTCCATAAAGATGAATGTGAATTTTATATGAAATTCTTATTATGTTGTATATGCAAGTTTTTTTAATCTTTTATAAGAATTTTATTTATTAATAAACAAAGTTATTTCAAATAAAAATATTAAAAAACAAAAACAAAATTGTATATCGAAGCCCAATGATGAAGTCATTGTAAATATAAGCACCTTTTCATTTTTTTTATGATCTTAATTTTTAATGTTTACTTGTGATTTTTGGCTTTTTTCAATGTGCAAAATTAAAGTAATTGAAAGAAAATTTATTAAATTAAAAAAAAAATGTGCTTTCTTTATTTTTTTATACAAACGTTTAGGTTAACTATAACAGCATCATGCCCGATGAATTTGCAATATTTTCCCATGGACAGACAATTATGTCATATAGAAATAGAAAGTTGTAAGTAATCTTTTTTCTAATACAATTAGTTTTCCTTTTTTTTTTTGTTTTATAAACTTTTTTTTTTGTTTTCAATAAATATAAAGCAAAACCGATCTATAGTGTAATCAAATTTAAAAATTCGTATTTGGTTATAAAAAAAAATAATTTTTTTTTTTTATATACATATATCTTGATTTTGGAATATATATGTATAAAGAAAAGAAAAATTTGTTATATTATATTATAACAGTATGATTTTTATTGGAAAAAAAAATATTAAGATAACCATAGCTAAATAAACTTACTACTATATCTACATACATATATTGAAAATTGAAATTACAACTATATTTATAAATAATATTTTTGAGTGTATATGTGGTGTGTCTATTCAAATATATAAGAATATTCGCAAACATACTCACGCGATTCATTTTATTTTTCATGTGCATTATAATGAGGCCAAATATTGTATATTTCTATTGTATTTCAAAAAATAATATATTTTATATGAAACAAAAATAAAAGTTTCAATTATGATTTTGATAAAATTTTATCTGAATACTTAAAGCTTTAAATACGAATGACGTTCTTTCCAATTGAATAAATTTTGATTGAAAAAAATTATATTAAAACTATATTAATATAAATTATTATAAATATTAAAACTATTGTTTTTTCTGAATAAAACCCGTTTAGATGAATATTAATAAAATAATATTATTATGTGTGTAGCGCGATTATTCAATTGGTTTTAAGCGCTTCATCACTGATCGCCTGTTTTAATGTTTAAATTTTAATTGCGTTTCATAAATTTTTTTGTTCATATGTTTTGTTTTGTGCATTTCATGAAATTTTATTTTGTCAAGTATAATCTTATTTGACATTTGACAAAAAATATGTAGAATAAGTACATTACGTCAGTAAGTTGTCACTTAAACCAAACCCATTAATAATTTTAAAATTTTGCTGTTTTTTATGTTACTAGTAACAGTTTAAGTGCTGCAATACATCAAAAACACTTTGTTGTTATTAAAAACACCCAATAAAAGTTGTAATAATTACGTCAGCTGGAAATAATATATTAATGTACTATACAATAATTTTTGCTCTCTTTCATACATATTAGAATACTGGTAGACCAGTATTTATATATTTTCTCCAAAATTAACATTTTCATATCTCAAAATTATTATATTGGCTATTATTATGGACATGAAAAATAAAGATTATAATATTTAATAATATGTAAATACGTATAACGTATATAACATAAATCTGTAAATATATGTACGTCGTTTATATTTATATGTATATATATATATATGCATTTAAATATAAAATAATATAAAAAGAAAAAAAAAGACAGAGTCTACTATAAAAAAACGTTTACTAAAAATGTGCTCATTCAGAATATATTATTATTTATATATATATTTATTTTCACAATTTATATATATATATACATAATACGTTATATATATGAACATTGTTTTATATATATAACAATAATAATAATAATAACAACAGCAAGATTTATTTTATCGAAAAAATTTAAAAAAAAAAGGAGAAAATATCCTTAGAATTTTAGCTTAAATGTCAAATTAATGTCAAAATTCAAAATTTTAATCTTGTTTCAATCGTTTGTTTTTTTTTTTTGATTTTCAAAATTTTCTCTGTTACGAAAAATAAAAACGATTAATATGTTTTTTTATTTTGCTTTTTTTTATAAATTATTCGGAACACATACATATTTAATAAATTAGATGAAAAATATTTTATATATTTTAAGGTAAAATTCTTTAACGAAATATTTGCGATAAAATTAAATTTAAATTTACAAAAAAAAAAAAGAGATTTAAAATTAAAGAGAATTTTCTCAACAAATGATCCACGAAAAAGTAAAGGGATGAAAGACTGACATTACTACAGCTTTTTGGTGTTTGGTTGTATACAAACTATATAAATCTGATTCTTCTATATAATTCAACCTCTTCAAAACTAAAACTAAAACTAGAAAAAAAAATAAAAGAAAATATTCAAAATTCTAACAAGCATTAAATATACAAAATATAATTTTACAATTCTTATATTTGTTATATAAATTAATTAATTACACATTCAATGTTATATTATATTTATATAACCTACTATATATACATAGTATGTTGTTATTTGAATTTCAACGATATCTTCAAATCCTAAATCTCACTATAATTTTTAACACACAACAACGATTTTTTAATATTTAATATACACATTAAATTTATTTTATGCTACTACTATATAAATGTGTAAACATTTTTAAAAATATATTTTATGTGTAATTGATTAATTTAATACATATACAACAAAATATTTATATCAAATAGAATAAAATTGAACAGTGTCTCATCATCACTATATATAAGTTCGCACAATTATTTATATAAAAAAATATATAATTTAAAATGTAAAAATAATACTAATACAATACATTTATATAATTTTTATGTACTGATATCTATATAAGTTAAAAGTAATTCAATTTTAATTTAACAATTTTAAGAAGTTAATATATTATAAAAGTAGAAAGAATAAAATTTTTACCTAAAATCTATTTTAATATAAATTTTAAAATTCTTGACTTTCTACATAATTATAACTAAAAAATGTTTAATTGAGAACCAAGACTCAATTTTTACTAAAATAATAAATGTGATAACAAAATAAAATAAACTATATCAAAGTCTTAAAAATTTTATTTGTTGATCTTACTAGACCAAATATTTCACAAATGTTTCTTTTATACTGCGAATGACAAAATGGCCGTTTAAATGACTCGTTTTCAAAGTTTCAATATCAATTTTGCAATAATAAATCCAAAATATAAATGAGCATAAAATGGTTTTCTTTCAACTCTTTATTTTCTCGAAACTGTAAGTTTTTTCAAATTCATATTTTGAACACTGCTTTTAATTTTTCCACTTCTCCTATATGTATGCAATTTTTCGCATAATATATTTTGTTTTTAAAAGTATACATTTTCCTTAACTATTATTTTAGTTATAGTATATATAACTAGCATATATACTTATATATACGTACATGGATATGCAATATATTCCTGAAACTATACATATTGTGTTCTCACATTCGTTTATATTATATACACATATATAGATATTATGAAGATACCCAAATTCTATACATAAAAATTTTTTATCACTATAATTTGTATTAGAAATATAACAATATACAATAAATGAATATAAAAATATAACCCTATATATACATATATATATATATATATATATATATATATATATATATATATATATATATATATATATATGTATATATATATATATACATATATATATATATATATATATATATATATATATGTATATATATATATATACATATATACATGTATATATATTTATATCTATATTTATATATAATAAAAATAAAGTAACTTGCCTTTTTTCTCTCAAAAAAAAATTAATCCTTAATTAAAAATTTTCAAAATATTTAAGAAATACTTATTTGTTTTCTTCGTATAATAAATTTACTACTGACCATTATGCTTCAAAAAATATTATAATACTCTTAAAATTTTACACATAACATACTGTTATTACAAATATTATACAAATAATTTCTTCCCAAAAATATAAATCTCAATTAAAACAAATGTTTTTTTTATATACTCTTGTTATATAGCAGTCAATCATCCCTATAAACATAATAATTTTGTTTTTTTATGTTGTATACATACATATATCCAAAATGATGTTATTTTACCGTCGTATAATCTATAAATATACATATATATATATATATATATATATATATATACATATATATATATATATATATATATGTATATTTCGGAATGACACCGATTTGTTCTTATTTCTTTTTCATTATTATGTTAAATATCCTTCAATTTTTACACAACAGTCTTCTAATACAAAACAAATTGAGAACATTATATCGCGCAAATGTTTTGTACACAAAAATATTTAAATATATGGCAGATATATATGTATATACTCAAAAAAAAATTTCTTAACAAATCATTAACAAAAACAAAAAGTTCTAATCTAAAAAATTAAAAAATCGAAAAATTATTTTTCTTATAAATTTTTTTTTGGTAAAACAAATTTGAGCTTCGAACTTTTGGAAAAAATTATAACAAAAATTAAAACATTTTACACTAATTAAATAGCCCCTGTTTGATCTCAATATTATTATAATCAAATATATATATATATATGTAATTAAAAAAGAAAATTTTAAAAATTTGCTTATGTCCTTAATGAAAAAAAAATTAAGGAATTTTAGTCTTTTTTTTCTCAAATATACTTAGATAACTTGAAAACCTTTTTATTTTAAACAATTTCAATTTCTTTAAATTTAATTTATTTTTTTTATTTTTTATAATTTTTTGTTTTGTTTTATTTTACAAATAAACGCATTAAAACTTTTTTGGTTTTAGTTTTTAACTTTTATTGGTTGGTTTTTTCGGTCGCCTTCTCTAATACAGCAACCGCAGAAGGTTGACTACCGCTAATAGTCACCCAAGTGTGGATGAAATATAAATACAAAACATTAATAATAATAATAACAAAAAATTTTAATAATCTTAATCTACAATATGAAAAAAAACAGTTGTTTTTGTACTTTATATTATTAAAGATTCCCTAAAAATAAATTACATATTTATATACCTATACATACATGTACTTAAATACTCTAACTATTTTACAATTGCAATATTATGTACCCAAATAGAACAAAATAAATATATAACATAAGATTATATTTTGATGCATCATTTCCAGAGAGAGAGAAAAAAAGAAACTTTCATTATAAATGTATGTTAAATGTAATCCGCCATATTGATCAAAAAATTTTTCTTCAAATTTTTTGCAACTCTATGCCAAAAACTCTCATTATTATATTATTTCAATTTTTGTTTAAAAACTGTTATGGCAATAGCCGTTCACTCAGACGGTCTCCTATTCACT